AGGTAAATTTGGTCATAAACAGACCTGCAGATGCCTGTAAAGCCAAATGGGATGTATTTTCCTGCAGTGATACTGCACAGCTACATACATCTGCCGCCACCATCTTGTTTAAATTTACAAAGGTAAAGCTTCCGGTCACACAGGTTCGCCGATTCAATCCCTCAACTCTCGGGCTGTGCGTTCAGCTCACCAGGCAGACCATCTGCACGCTCCGTTCATGCCTCCTCAGAGAGGCCTCACAAATGGGCACCAGTATTTGGCTCAGACGGGCCCGCAGCAGCTTGCAGCAGTTAACACGGGCTCTTTCCTTTGAATCAAACATGTTCTCCGGTGGAATCAGGAACGTCTCCAGGTCTCCTCCTCACAGCTTCTCAACTACAAGAGCTCATTTTTTCCTCAGAGCGCACTGAAGAAGATTAATACAGAGGCAATGCCCTGGTAAAGGGTGACATTGACCCAAGAAGAAAATGTCATGATACATTAGCACTGTTCAATAGGAATTATAAGCTGATTTAATTAAAGATGAGACTGAGTGCAGCAGCAGATGAGCACCCAGGAGCCTTGGATCAAAAAGACAGAGAGAAAATTTCACTGAATAATTTGACTCACTGATGGCTTCAAAAACTAATCTGACAACTGTTCTAACTTTATGTCGTGTGTCAAGTCTAGTTTAGTGTCCCACTGAGGTTTTAGCCAGTCGTACTTTTAAACTTGTATAAAACCAGAGTCATTTTTAAAAGAGGCTGAGGTCTTTAGCTTTCTTTAGGCCAACAGACATCATTAAGCTCACATTTTCAGTTCTCACCAAACGACTGGCTGAATTAAGAGGCCATGAACCTGGCAGCTGGCGAGACGGGGGATGTTGGGACCACCGTGTTTACTTATGGTCTGCTGTGGCAGTCTGAATTTTCTCTGAAGTGTTCATTTGTTTTCGTTTGGTCTGTTGTGCTCGCTCACTTCCCCGCCTGTTTGTCTCATTGCTTCTTGGCCGCAGAGCCCATTGGACTGAGGGGTCTGCAGAAAGTTGGTGCTGAGGCATCATTGCACTCAAACTTTCAAAAGTTCCTCCTAACTCAACACACTGCCCACCTAATGCACTCAAAAGAACTGTTCAGTTGAGTTTCACTAAAAGAAAGCTGACGTTCCAGGGTCAGCCTTTATCACTCTGTCAATACAAATTTATATGAAATTACTAGAGGTGTCCCGATACCGATACCAGTATCGGTATCGGATCCGATACCAGCATCAAGTACTCGTACTCGTA